CAATTTCTATACTACGGAAGGAGACTGCGACCACAAAAAAGGCCACACCATCTTGGTCTTATACTTTCAAAATTATTTATATTGTAGTTCTCTATGCTTTATTACTACGGTACTATTGCACGTGTAAAGCCTGCGATAATCCTAATCATTAATTGGCTAGAATCGCTTCGCAATGAAACGGTTTTTCATATCTATATGTATGAAGTGTATTCACCCTATTTCATTTAAGATAATAAGAATGGTAGTTGGATTTTTCCCACAATTATATTAGTAGACCTTACATTTCAATTCAATTTCATATAGCCTTGATTCCCCCAAGCGTATTCTTATCCAGGGTAGACTGCAGTTGCGACTTCGCACAGGTCTTATTAACACCCCCAGTGGCCCTATAATGAGGCCTGATTTCAACACAACTTCAGGACACTATGTATCCCCAATTATTGCTATCCTATATGTATCCTCATGTATCTCATGTAAGTTTCACCACTACTACTATTGCTTTCTGCATTCAAGAAACACAGAATATCATCATTAGTAGAGGCATGACTTTCAATGCAGTTCTAGCTTTCTTGGCCTAAATATTTGTCTTTTATAATTCGGCAGTCAACGTTTTCCTTCAAGACAGACCTAATACAGCATTAGTGCTGGGGGTCAATTTTTACACTATCAAGATTGGAATCTCAGTTGGGTTTTTATTTAGATGTATCAGATGTGGAGATTGCGATCTAATCCGAATAATGGCACATTTAAGGGTTATTATTTAGAGTTGACTTCATTGTCATTCCTCACATGTACTATCGATATCACATATCAAAATGTATATCGATCATTCACATTTATGACATGCTTTGTAATCAAACGATACCTGGGCTAAATTTTCTATTTGATTTCACTTCGATTTCTGATGAGACCTAATATAATCGAACATTTCCCTTCTCTATGATTAGATTTTTGCCATAAAAAAGTACATTAAAATCTGTTTGCGAAATGATGATTTATTTCGTTTATTGAGTATTTCAAAATACTTTATGGTGTAATGTTTCAATTTCATAAACTTACCTTTGGCAGCTACAGCCGATTAGCTTTGAATTGCAAACTTCAAACTCCATCATCTATACTTTAATTGAAGATTTGAAGATCAAGATGTTATTGCCTCTGATATAGTCCCAGTCTCCTTTCGATTTATAGGAGTTGGTTGACCTCGTTGTCACAACTTGGTCTTGTTGTCTGATGCTAAGACTCATGACAACTATTATGGCAGACGACATCGGACTATGTGAATTCTACTAAATTTCCCAGACAACATGACCAAGTTGCGACAACGAGGTCAACCCACTTCCAACCTCTATAGTTTTTTTGACATTATGCTTTTTGGACAAAGATGATTAATAGTGGAAATGAAGACCAGGTTAGTGTAGCCTTAGGTTTAATCTCAGTATCCTTTAATTGCATAGTGTTTGTTTTACTTCGTTTTTGTAGCTTGACCCGAGGAAAATGAGGATTTTGTAGAACTTACATGATAGTCCTGATAATTTCTATCATTAGACCATTGACTTGGTACATTTCCAGGCTCATCATCTGCATCGTAGTTGACATCTTCACTGAGAGATGCCATCATTAGCACCAAATTAGAACTCATCACAATTGACAAGTAAAGGCAATACTCTTGATCAATTTTCTGTTCAATCGTTATAGATTTTCCGTATCCTATCTCCTGGTGCTTAATCCTCACAGCTAAAGCCCACTTAATATGGCAAAATTGCCTATCTACACTTTTCTTTGTCTTCTTTCCGCTAATATCATCCAGGGGTTGATTTACTTCAAATGAATTTAATAAAGCTTAATCACCTTCATTACCACTTTCAGATACCTGGCCGCACGGCTTCTGGATCCACTGAGCTAAGGCAGAAGAGAGGAGAGACACAGTGGTTGAAACAAAATAACAAATTTCATAGAAAATTGGTTGAGGGGATTGCCTTCTAACGATGTCGGCGAAACGTCCGTTCGAAGATAGAAGCCATAATGGCTAATTGTTTGTAGAAAAAACTAGTTTTTGAGTACCCTTCATCTCGTTTGAAGATTCGAGTGGAAAGGAAGTTGGCCTCACTGAAAGTTCTAGAGGGATTGCTTTGGAGCTATGATTGTAGATTTGTGCGAATAGGTCTTTGCTTGGTGAATTATCGTAAAGCATGATGTCCGTCATATGACGAACGAAATCTCAGTAAGGATTCATCGGCATCACAGAGCGGTACGCCGAGGACCTATCTGCACAAATCTACAATCACGGCTCCAACAAAATTCTCCTACAGCTTCTGGTGAGATCAACTTACGAACTCTGTTCACTCGTCTCTTCAAACGAAATGAAAGGTTACTCCAACAAGTCTGAGTATGTTATATAAGGTCACCTTGTCGCCATGACCCAGTTGCAAAATCCAGATCATACCAACTCAAAGCTGGCTTTTTATTAGCTTTCTAGCTGTGCACAGTCTCATTAACCAGTTTGCCTATACAATAATTTAACTAGCGTCACTGGCTTTTTATTTAATGCAGCATCATTGGCTCTTATACGCAAGCTTTATGCTGACACTTATTTTTGTATAGTTCTGAACTACTTTGAATGTAAGGAAGAAATAGTTAAGATGATAACAGCGTGTTTGCAAACGAGCAAGACTTTAATTCTTATTTCCACGTGAGGGTATGTTCATAGATATGAGTATTTAAAAATTAAACTTATTCCTACCACACTCGCTTTAGTGTCCGGCATGACTTACTCTCGACCAATATATACATATTAGGATCTTTCTCATATATCTTAACTATATCGTAAGTAAAGTTATGTTAACTTGTTTTTTCTTTTTTTTTAACATTTTGTTAGACGGCGTTGTTCAGGTTAGAATGGATCCTGGTGGCATCATTCATCCCTCTGTTGGGAGTAGTTGTGTCAGCAATGCAAATGGAAATGGCTTAAATGTAGTTGCCTCCAGTTACCCTGTTGCTTCTACTCTCGGTCTCGCCGGGACCAATGTTGTTGCTTGTTCTGGAGCCATCAGCACTAATATTGGTGGTGCCGGAACAGCTGGCGGCTGCAGTAGCGCTGTTGGTACCAGCTCCCGATATCGCTCAGTCAAAATGGCTGATCGTCTGGCCTTCTTATTTACTCGTTGGCTGTTGCTATTCAAGAAGCAGCGCAGAGTACTGCCTCTCGTTTCAACATCGGCTTCGGCGATCGGGCTAAAGTTGAAGAAGAAAATCCCATTGGAGCGTTTTCATTTAATTGACCGCGGGATCGAATATACGAAATCGGGAGGTAGGTCAAGGAGGCTAATCTTTACAAATCAGTATATTTAATCAAATCGCGAAATCATTATTGTGGCTTACTAGTGATCATGGTTTTCGTAATCATGTCCATTCGTTAAAATAAAGTGTATCGCAAGTACTTGTAATGCCTAATTGTATCTAGCTATAACACTTATAAACAACTTTCTATAGTACCATTTTTAAGTCCATCAGATCTGGAATTCAAGAGAGATTTTTTAATTCTGTAAGTCATGCCAATTATCTTTAGCATTATCACTTGTGCAGCCTAACCATTCGTCCCTTTATGGACATTCAAAATTTCTGTTCTTATAGGATAAGAAAGTATTTTGTCAATAAATATTGACTGAAAGTCAATAACGACCTACATTATCCGTCATTTCAATGTCTTATTAGACTACAAATTGGCTAAACAAAGTATTTTGTTTGTCAACCTATTCTGATCTTATTCTCCCACTAGTCACCAGAGTTATATTCAATTTAAAATATTTTCTTAACCGAGAATTCGCTGTGCTGATCTTAATCTGAGGCTTCCGTTTTCTGAGCTTCTTTTTCAAACAGACTTATGCGATTTCATTTAATAGGAAATAAAGACTGTAATTAATAGGTGGCTTAAGGGGATTAAAGACTGATAAACAATTTTTCCTGGAGGCCTTTTGACTTTCAAAAGGTATTCTCGTCTAGTTTGAATTACAGTTTTAATCTTGCCTATTTTGTGTTACACCATTTCTAACTCAATCAGCTCTGCTCGCATTTCATCTTATTTTAGAAGTATTATCTCCAAGTTTTAGTTTAGTTATTTTAAAAGCTTACTAGTCAAAGATTTCCAAATTCACTGCATCATTAAGATATTAACATCGTAGTTTAAATCTTTTTTCGCAAGACAACACTAACAAATTGTTTGGCGTCTCTCACTTCAATATCCAGTACTACACAAGTTATTTTCTTGTTTGCATAGTGGAGAGATAATTATTTATTGTATTTTTTCATTTGGAAAATTTCAGTTTTTTTAATCCCTACATTTAATTAGCATGCAAGAGAAACACTTTCGCACATCTACATTATTTGGTCCGACTTAAATTATATCCATAAAATATTTATAGGATTTCGCAAGTCTACATAAAGAGTACCAAAATCGAACACTACTATTTTAGACTCTGTGAATCACCTTTAGTCAGACATCAAATTGCACAAATGACCTCCAAAATCAGCTTGGCTGGGTCAACTATATACTTTATTTTTTTATATTTAGAACATAGCTCCCATTGAAGAGAATTAGGAACTATCACATGTGCACAAAGTGAAATGCATTATGTTAGAGGTATCGTATTCACGTCATAAGCCTGACTGGCCCACACCCACAAATATTACTCTTTCATTATGTAAAGGATATTTTGACAAAGTTAGTCTTCACTCTAGCAATTGCCCTCCTAATTTATAGTGTTAGTCTTATTGCCGGTCAAAAATCCATTCCGAGTTGTGCAAACGTGTTATGCTCACGCAACGACGAATCGTAGGGAAGCAGCTTCACATCTTAAGATTGGTTAGATGCCGCTACTGCTTCTTTCTCTAACCAAACTGGTTCATACTATTAACTTCTCTTACTCCGTCCTTGCCGCCCTAACAGAATACTAATTTATTCGGCACTTGTAGCTTGTTCTGAGTCTATGGTAATCAGGTGGAATTGAAAATTCGGTCTGCTTCTCAGACTTCCAGTCTTAGTCTGAAACAACCCTAAAAGTCTTAGAGACTCCTGGAGAATAATTTCTTAATTTTAT